TAACTGACTTTTTTTTTATAACAGATTGTTCGGCTATTATTTCCTTTTACCCAATCACGACAAATGGTTCATACCAGATATGACCGGTTTACAGGAGATGTTTACTCCTCCATGGCTACTATCCCATCTTGGAAGTTTTCAGAGGTCCGTGATTGCTCTGCTTTCAAGGTGTATTGTTATTATTGTTCGCTATCTTTATATTTCACATATATTTTCCACCGTAATATGGAATTTGAAATATACTGAAAGAAAAAAGAAACTCAAGGTAAACTTTTGAAGTGAATTTATGCTATTTTTCGAAAGTATTTTCCAGTTTTGTTATCTATCAATTAAACTCATTTTTGATGGACAAGTTACCAGAATCTCATTTGATTTTGAATGATTATTCATGTTATTGAAATTCATATGACGGTATCCCCCTAAATGAAAATAAAAATTCTCAATATCTCCCTCGCACGTCTATCACAACTTTGATTTCCCTGTGCATGAAGTTAAAGTATTCATATTTCTCATGGATATTTATTCAACCCTTCCGACAGGGACAGACCCTTGTTGGTCGAAATTAGCTGGGCTTACCGACGCTTTCAACCCCTAGCGTCCAGTTAGTCTTGTCCCACAGATTTTCAATTGAAAAAAAAAATTACGAATGCCAGTTGATTTGGTCAATGTGAATATTTACGAGAAAGTCCTGAAAAGCTATGACAACAATTTCCTGGGGGTGAACATGCTGAATAATTAGGCTTACGACGCACACGTGCGCAAGTGAGAGTGTCACCGACGTAAGATTGACGAGCTCACGGACTAAAATATAGCAATGGATTTCTATCAGTTTTAGAGTGATTGTAATGCTTATGATTGCTTACTGTATTAGAATTGGTTTCATTGGTAATACCGTGGCGATTACACAGGTGGTAGGATGAAAAACCTTATTTTCATATGACGCTGTTACACACCAACGTCACAGTCACGGTAGGTTGGACACCATTCCTGTTCCTCTCTGACAAGGGATAAAATGTTCCACGGTGGAAAATTTATAACAAAGTGCACAGCAACATGTTATTGTCTTTTCCTTCACATAGGCAATTCAATTACTAGACCGCATGGGACATCCATCAGCCGTACCATGATAACAAGAAATTCATATTGCCTGTAAATAGTGAAAAACGATGTGTATACCTCCAGTGAATCAGGAACTACTACAAAATCTGTTAACAAACCTAACATCATCAAAATACACGTGTTTTTGGCTTTTTACAACTTTTCTTACGTGACGTCATCAATTTCACAGTTGAGTAATTTTGAACACCGATTTTAGTGCACAGTTACCAAGATACACCTCTGACTAATTTTCGTAATTTTTGGCCACTAAGTCAAAAATATTTTGCATGTTATGTTTCCTTGCGTTTCTTTTTCTTTTCAGTATAGTTTCGATAGTTATTGTAGGAGAAAATTTGAGACTGGTTTTAATAAAGGTTTATTTCAACCATGAGCGTGACTGAATTTGTACAAAGTACATTAATGCATGTTCAGAATTGTTTGTTGGTAAAGGATTCGTGAAATAAATAAATCTTATATGGAGGTAACGTTTCCCTTCCGTGTATTTAGATAATCATAATTTTTAGCTTTGAAAATAATATTATCTTAGAACGTGTTACTGCTACTGATGGAAATAAAATTCCTATGAAGAGGAAGAAATGGGGTTTTCTAAATAAAATATCAAAGAATATATAAGATAATTGATGATCGTAGAACTTTCGTGACTCTATCTAATAGTACGCATTATATATATATATATATATATAAGAAGAGAGAATCACGGGGAAAAGGGAGGATTTTGAGACCAGAATTTTCGTGAGGTATGCATTTCTGTGGTCAGATATCTATTCATGTATACCACGTTTATGGTCTTATCTTTTATCATTGATTTTATTCTTTATTCCATATTTATTTTTATGAAGTTTTTTTTAAATATAATTTTTGTTTCATGTTGTGACTTTACACGTTTTTATAAATAATTGATAAAATAAATGAATGCAAGTTGCTATTTACGCATCATCATGTGGTTAAATTGATTTTTGTCGCTTGTTAAATTTTTAATGACGTCACATTGAAACTTCCCATACGGTGCTTCACAAATGCGACCTCAGGCCTTCCTTAACGTAGCTGAGTTGATATTTAAACTCAAAGTCTGCTTCAATATATCTGTAAAAGAATAAAACTGTATCTCAACAAAACTTTGAGAACATCGAGATAACGTTTAGATGTCCTTATATTTGGAATATGCAAAATTTTCTAGTTTTAAATACAGAGTAATTTTATTCACGATTTTTGAAAATGTAGAAACGTGAAATGAAGACCAGCAACATATCTAATCTACTTTTCTGTACAAGTATGAGATTCATATTCTAATATTTAAAAAGGCATTGAGTAGGAAAGGAAAGGAAGTCGATAGAAACGTGGTTTTAGCTTTAGAATTCATATGCAGCAACATTGCGATTTATCAAACTTTCAAAAATATATCTATGTATTTTTACGCAGTTTTTTTTTCTGTATGTTAAAATTTTAAACAAACTGCAAAAACGTTTGCATGTTCATATAATGAATAAACTGTAGAAAATGATAGTTTTTCCCTTTCACACTTTAAAATTTTTGCCTAGTGTTATATTCGCCCAGACACAATTGTGTTAAAAATATAAGGCTGTCTTTTCTTGAATTCACACCGTTTTAAATTCGCCCTCTTCCTAATGAGGCGATAATAACACGGAGATAAAATATCATTGTATAGAGTGCAGTGTATATGTAGTATTTTCCTTTGTTGATTTTGTTTGTAAAGTCTCATTTTCTCTCGGAATACCATTTCTTTAAACCACCAAATGCCCTTGGCATGATCATTCAAACTGAAACTGAAAATGTAGTAAAAAAAGTGACTCCGATCAAGCCACGAACCCCGTTTTCACTTAGATCCGACACTAATTTAGTGTTTCGGCAGTGTGATAACAGGCCAAGCAATAAATAGATATTCTATACTAATTATAATTAGTTATATAAGTCCGCCATCATCAGGAATCCACTTATATATATATCAATGTTGTATATTCATTTTATTCGTTTTATTATATACCGGTATGTTCTTTTTAAATAGTAGAACCGGTAAGGGAATTTCCCAAGGTCACGTAATGTTCAAATAATAAACACAGATGAAAGTTGTTTGTGTAAATAAATATGCAAGAATGCGATAATTTGTTAACTGTCTCTGACCGAGATATGTCAGTAAATGATATGGTTGATTACATTGTAATTGACCAGTAAGTGAGGCTTTACTAACTTTTATAAAAGTTTTGAACTTGTTAGGAGATCTCCTAAACTCCTGTGTTTTTATATGCTATAATTGGTTTGTTTTTGAATATATCTTTGAGTTCGGGCTCTCTTGATAGAGTGTGCCAGTATTTCAGCAATTTCTTTTTGATATTGCAAATGGCTGGGTTGTACTTTGTAACCATGACCAATAGTATATCAGAATTACTGTTAACTTTCTTTTTTTGATTTAAATGGTCTCTTTTGTAATTTTCTAGAACATTGTTCATTGAACTATTAATCTCATTTTCATTATATCCTCTTTTCAACAGAAAAAAATTTGAACTTCTCGATCGCATTGTGAAAAATATTAAAATCGCTAGTATTGCGTAAATGACGAATGATTTTGCCTTTAATGATTCCCTTGAAAACAGAAGGGCTACATGTATGTGCACTATTGCGTTCCAGATACTGGAAAGTATAAGTAGGTTTTATGAAAGTTTTGACATCAAGAATTCCTTCTAATTCAAACCTTTCTCCCTTAAATAGGGTGATGTCAAGGAAGTTCATTTCTTTGTCAGAAATTTCATATGTGAATTTTAAAAGAGGATGATGTGAATTTGCTATTTGGAAAAAATGATGAATTTCATCCATTTCCCCTTGATAGATTATAAATCCATCATCTCGATATCGACCGTGATAAACAATATATTATGTTGAAATGGAAATTTGTTTAGAATTTCCGAAGTGACTTCATACATTCTGATATCGCACACTTCAGGACTGCATTTTGAGCCCATTGCGCAGCCTATAATTTGTTTATATTTCTTAGAATTAAATTCAAAGACATTATTTTCTAATATTATTTGTAACAACCACAGAAGATCTTCTGTAGGTGGCGAAGGAATTTTAAATTCTCCCTTGTTGAATTTAGAGTATGCTTTACTGACAGCTGTGAGTAATTCGTTGAATTGCATATTTGTATACAGGGATGTTACATCATACCTGACCATTATGCATTCTGCTTAAGGTCTAAGTTTTTCTATTTTTATTATAAAATCAGAGCTATCTCTGATGTAAGTGGATTGTGTTTTGACTATTGGTATTAGGAAGTAATCAAATTATTGGCTGATTCGTTCCGTCGCCGACCCGCATTGCAAGATAATAGGTCGTGCCGGGCAAATGATTTCTTGATTGTAGTGGCCCTGTTCTTTGATAACATCAAACATCGTCTGATCTAATTTGTGAAGTTTAGGTAGTAAGTATAATCTACCTATTCGTGGATACGTAATATCCATTAAAAATCTATGTGTAACTTTATATAGATACCCATTTGCCTTAAGTTCATTGATTTTATTTTGAATATTCCTTGGGAGCACTGATAAATCAAAATCGTCAATTATTTCGTAATATTTAGTGTTCAATTGGCGCCCTCCTTAATATAATCGTGTTTGTTCATAACAACACATATGTTGTTTTTGTCTGCCTTTTTAATTACAATATCGTGCCGATATCGTAACTGGTTAAGTGCTCTTCTCTCAAGTTGAGATAAATTATCAGAGCATTTTTTATTTGAATAGAGGAAAGTTCAAGTTTGGTCTTATCGATGTAGGTTTCAAATGCACCAATCATCTTAGGTGGTTTATATCCACTCTTTGTGTAGAAAGGATGAATCTCATCGTTATTAGTCTTGAAATTGAACTTACATCTCATTTTACGTGCAAGTTCATCAAAATCTTTGAGTAAGTCGTTTTTTGCGACTTTTGTCGAAGGTGTTGGGATGAATTTCAGCCCTTTTGCTAACAAGAAGTATTCACTATCTGTTAACTTGTTTTTGGTCAGATTGAATACATGTTCTCTTGCATAAAGAACATTGGAGTAGAACTTTCTATTTTTGCGGGCTTTGTATTTCATTGCCCTAATAGATCGTTTTCTTCTTTTGATGTTTCCATCGAAACGACGTGCCATTCTGTTGGCTGTGTATGTGAAAATGTGAGCAAACCTTCGGACGTGGTAAAAATGCCGCATGCGTACAAATCCTGTATGTAATTATTGAATAATCCAGTCGTAATCATGTTTGAACTAACCAATTAGAAAATTAAAAATACAATTTCCTTACCAAAAGGCATATCAATAAGATAGCAAAATTCCAAAGGAAATGAATATTTTATTCATTGATCATTCACAGAACATAATTTGTCACAGTATGTAATCAACAGCGAATGATACTTTAAAGAAATGACTAAATCCCATGGGAATAAGTTCGTTAGAGTTAAGAGTGATACACTCAAATATAATAATCGGACAATAGAGTTACTTTAGTATAGCGAATCAGTTCAGTTGTGCATGAGTGATACACTCAAGTTGTAGTAAAAAAGTGACTCCCATCAAGCCACGAACCCCGAGGGAAATTCCCTTACCGGTTCTTCTATTTAAAAAGAACATACCGGTATATAATAAAACAAATAAAATGAATATACAATATTGATATATATAAGTGGATTCCTGATGATGGCGGACTTATATAACTAATTATAATTAGTATAGAATATCTATTTATTGCTTGGCCTGTTATCACACCGCCGAAACACTAAATTAGTGTCGGATCTAAGTGAAAACGGAGTTCGTGGCTTGATGGGAGTCACTTTTTTACTACAAATATAAGATGGTATCTCACAATAAACGTAATCTGATAGCGTAAAGCTTTTTTATTCGCGTGTGAGAAAATTTTACGATGTTTGGGGCCTTCGTTTTTCTAGCGAATATTAATATAATAACATTTCTTGTCGAGAAGCATTTAATTGTGTATTCATGTGGTATGTTTCAGTATCGATATTAATCGCTTTGGGGGGATTTCAATGATGCATTGTATTTAAATTTTCCGGACAGTTTGTGAATAGTTGATTTAAAGCTAAATTTAAAAGAAATAATTGAATAATCGAATTTTTGGAATACTTATTTTTTCACAGCATATTTAGAAATCTAATTTTTTAATAGACCTTTTATTTTTGGAGTTTGAAGCGTAGACTTTCTTGAATAAAGGACTAAACACACTTGGAATTTCTTTTTGTTTTTTAGGTTTTAGACCAAAGACTAAACATCTTCAACATGGTAAGGAAAATATTCAATGAACTTTTCCAGGAGCACAACATAGAGGGGAGGAAAGAAAGAGCCCCGTTTGGAGCAATATCGTATTTGCTCAACCTAATAGGAATCATTGGCAATGTGTTGGTTATAAACATCTTTCGTAAACGTTTTACTTCGTCTTCAAATTACAGAGTATTTGTCTTATTTTTAGCTGTAGTCGATATTTTCCTCTGTATTACACATGTTGCGAGAGAACTAAGCAGGACGTTTTCAGTCTACAGTCAAGTTGCTAACGACGGTGTATTGATCTGTAAGATAGCTATTTATTTTGGTAATTCTGTCGCATATTCTTCCATTTTGACAATTTTTTTTATAGGTATAGAGAGGTACAGAAAAATATGCACACCCTTTAAGTCCCAAATTACATTAAAACTTTCCAAGATTATGTGTTTGAGCGCTGTCTTGATAGGGTTTGTTGTAAATATTCCGATTTATCTTATTAATGGTAGAAGATATGTTCTAGTAGAAAATATAAATGCCACAAGATGCGCTGTCAAAAATGATTATGATGGAGATTTGCTGCCGTTTCTCTTTTATGCCTACAGATTTGTAGAAGTTCTACTCGCTTTATTCTTCATAATAAGACTTCAAGTGAAAATATTGAAAGCTCTTGCAAAGAAAGTTGAATCAAGAAAGAAAATGAAAAACATGGCAAAAGCTAAGGATACCGATTCCGACCTATCAGACCCCAAAATTGGAAAACAAAATAGAAATGAAGTGAAAAAGGAAAAGGAAACTGCTGTGGAAGTAGTAAATTCAGCAGAACAACAAGAGAAAAGAACAGAAAAATAGCGAAAACATTCGCCATTGTCACCCTTCTTTTGGTAGCCAGCTACGCTTTCAATACGCTATTTATGACAATACAAACAACACGGCGATATCTGGAACCAAGACAGAAAATTTCCAAATCAGAGGACGTGATGGAAGAATATTTCCCAGATATAATTACCTTAAACGGCATTCTGAATCCATTTGTGTACTATTTTACTGATATGAAATTTAATCAAGAACTGAAGAAACTTTGTGGTCGAAAGGGGTAGAAAAAAAAATTAATTTTGCTAATTTCAAGCTTTTTCAATGATAAATATACGTACATGTATACGTTCTTTGAGATTGTAGATTGTGCTGTGTATGTTTTAATTGTTGTTAAACAGGTAGTGCATGACATACTTTTATATATTTTAAGTTTTCTTTCATTGGCTTCAATTAAGCATTGATGAAGCAGTAATTAATCCTTTTTTGCAATGACAAGAGTCTATCGTGTTTACCATTATTTATTCTCCGTGTTTTACCTGCAAATTTTTGTAGTCATACTCGTCAGAATTAATGTAACCATATTCTGTAGCTAAAATAAAAAGAATACACAAACGTTGATGTACCGAAGCATTTTTCAAAAATTCAAACATTCTACCTACGAAAGTCTTCTGTAAAAAGAAAAAACATTGCTAACATATCCGAATGTCAAATTAATGTCAATTTAATATATCTAATTGATTATTAATACTTTAGAACATAAGACACATACCACGCGGATGATACATAGTAAAGCATGTAATCATGTGATCACTGAGTAAAAAAAAAATAAAAATGATATTGAACTGATCTGCCAGAGAGGTGACGTGTAGCATATAACGTTATAATCTTAAGATACACTCGATGCATCATGCCTGCATCTACTGTATAGGGGAAATGTTTTTTAAAAAATTGTTAAAAACAGCAAAGCTTTGATTAGTGGAAACATATTTTATGGAAGCATCCTCGGGGAGTGTAGATTCAAGTTTGTTCAAACCATGACCCCAACCAACCCACCCTTCCACCCCCAAACCCACAGAGGGGGGGGGGGGCATAAAGTTGTACATAGGAATATATAGGAAAATCTTCTGATCACGAACAACAAAACCGTGATTAGTCACATTTATATGGAAGCATTATCAGGTTAATTGTGTAGATTGTGTTTATTCAAATCATGACCCCGGGAGCTAAGGCGGGGTCTCAATGAAGAATCAAATTCATGCATAGGAATTTATGAAAAAAATAAAATCTTACTCTCAAAAACAGTAAAGTCATGATTATATTTACAATACGCACATGGAAGCATCATCAGGTTGTATAGATTCAAGTTTGTTCAAATCGTGATCCCTGAGGATAGGATGTGGCCACAATGTGTGATCTAAGGTTAGCAAAAGATATTTAAGGGAAGATTCTGCTGCTGAAGAAGAAAAGGGTCATGATGACCCAGGTGAGCGTTGTGACTCACGGACCTCTTGTTTTCAAGACTTTTAAGGTAAGATTTGCGACCCTCTCCAAATTTTATTTTTTTTTTAATTGTACATATGTCATACATCAATTTGTTTGGGAAGAATAGCTTCATTATATAACACAATTTTAAAAGAAATAGCCCGTCCCGTTTTTTGAGTAAAAGAGGCCAAATTTGAAGTATTTGACGTTTTACATGTTTAATTATTTTCAATGAAAAAATTGATTTGTTTGATATATCATCATATTAAAATAATTAAAATGGTATGTATTATTTTATTTTATGCTTAAAGACGTACAACACACTGGGGAAGATAACTCTTGCGATTTCAATAAAACGTTTAATTTGACGTCAAATTTGACGTTTATAATGAAGCGTCAAAATGACGACCGAATCGATCCCGACGTAATTATAAGAAAATGGGATTAGGGGCTTGATGTGGTTTCTTTAGAAATACCAAATCGTATCCTTGATTATTTGCGCTTTTGATTTAAAACCCGCCCCTCCTCCATAAAAAAAATGGAAGAAAAGAAAGATTATATCTTAAATTTCTTTAATTTTATACGAAACTCGTATCCGTGATCAATATTAGCACAACAATATTCTTTATCTTTTCATGATACATTGCTTTCTTTGTTACAGTTGGCTATGTAGCATTCGCATTACCAGATCAAGGGCCTATCTTCAAATTAAGAATTAGCCATATAAATACTGTTTTTGTTCTCCTTTTAAGAAAAAAAAAGTTTTACAACCCGTTTCCAGAAGTTCACTGATCAAAGAGGAACAACTCTAAAAATGTGGGAGATTTTCCCCCTCCCCTAGTTGAGTTATATCCTCCTGTTTGTCGAAGAGTTATGAAGACACAATGAATTCTGATGAACTCAGGAACTGAAAACTATAATATATAATAAGTAAGTACCGAAAATGTAACAGAATTGTTTACTGAAATGGCCCGAATTCACGAATATCTTATATGCGACAAACTGGCCCTATCCGACCATCTAGATATACCACTGTCAACAAATTCAGTGCGCATTTCTTCGAATCAAAACAAAACGTTTTATGCATGTATCACTATACATGAATAATTAAAACATAGATGGAGAATTTACAGTTTGATAAATTGAAGTTAATGTATACGAATACGAAATTTCCATTTTATCTATAGAAACAACAGAAGGATGCATACAAAAGGGGGTGGGGGTGGTTACTTTTAGACCCCGATCTTGTTTGCAATAAATAAGAAACAATATATTCCATTTACCAGCCTGTTTACATAATCGAAGAGTTGAATTTTCATCATTGTGCTTTCATTTTTAATGAAAATAACATTAAAATTAAATGTAAGTTGAATTCACACGCAGGTATATAAAATTAAATGCATGTCACCCATGTGTATGGACTACATATTGGACACTTGGACATAAAATCCTTAGAGAATAAGTTTTACTTTTGTTTTAGTAGTTGATAGTTTTACTCTTATTCTAGTTGTCAGAATTTAAATCTGCATGAATGAATTAATTAACTGGTACTTCAGGGATTTAAAAGATTAAATATATATCTC